TTAGAAACTGCAGTTGAGTATGAATGGATTCCACCTAAATGCAATAAATGTCAAAATTTTGGTCATGTTGAATATCAGTGCCCAGTCACTATAGTTGAGAAGTGGATTCCTAAATCTACATCTAATGATATTGAGATAGGTGAATCTATGCCTGATGACAATTCTTTTATCAATGAAATTTCATTAAATGACAATGCTGGCCTAATAAATGAAGATACAGTTATTAATAAGGGTCAGATAAATGTAGAAGCGATTAATGATGAAGAAATTATTCATGATGATTATACTATAAATGATGTTCAGTTGGACTCTGAGGTTTTATTGGATAATGTAAGAGTAAATCATAATGTTGAAGGACAGGATAAAGTTGGAGAATTAAATGCCAAGGAGCAAACTATAAAATTCAATTCTGCTCATTCTGGAAAAACAGATACCACGGATACTGTACTGTTACAGATAACAGATCCTTTGAAGAATGTTGCTGCTAACATATATAGAAATCTCAATTCTGTCTCAGCAGGTTCTATTGAAGACATATCAGCCACCTCTGCCAAGTCTGATGCTGTTATTCCTATAAGTGAGAGTAAATCTGATCAGGACACACATAAAACATGTATTATTGATTCTACTGTTGGGGGAAAGTCTAATGAGAAAGATCTAGATTTTCTTATTGCAATTGATAATCCTGACTGGTTAACTGAAAAAGATCAGATGCTTATGAAGAAGAAGAATCAAGTCAAAATGAATAAAGAGTCTTTAGGTCCAAAGAGGGTTACAAGGGCCTCATCAGCTAATTTATTATGACCATGTTATTCTGGAATGTCAGAGGCATGAATAAATTGGGAAGGAGAAGGGATATTAAAAATCACATACTATCTTTGAAGCCCAGTGTAGTTGGTTTGTTGGAGACTAAAGTTAAATCATCAAAAGCTTACAGAATTACTAAGTGTATTCCTGCTCATTGGTCTTACTGCAACAACTATATTGCTTCAAATAGAGGAAGAATATGGGTGGTATGGGATTCAGAGGTCTGGAATGGTGACATATTATCTGTTAATTTGCAAATTATAATAATTAGACTTCAAAACAAAGGAGGTTTCACTCTAGTTTTGAGTGTCATTTATGGTGAAAATTCTGAATCTGCTAGATTATCTTTATGGGCTAATATCAGAGATATCTATGATAAAATTTCCACATTGCCATGGTTATTAGTGGGGGATTTCAACGTTTGTAGATTTACCTTAGAGAAACTTGGAGGTATTCAGCTGACTGTCAATAAGCTTCAAGACTTTAATGATTGTATACAATCATGTGGTCTATCTGATATTAAGAGTACTGGTTCTCAATGGACATGGCATAACAAACAACAAGGTAAAGGCAGAATCTATGGAAAATTGGATAGAGGTTTGGGGAATGCAAAATTATTTGATCATTTTCCTCATGCTTTTATAGAGTATAAAAGTACTTCAACTAGTGACCATACTCCAATTCTTCTTCATCTCACTCCCAGTACACATTTTGGACCTAAACCTTTTAGGTTTTTTAACTTTTGGATGAATTGTCAGGGTTATGAGGAAACTGTCAGATATGTTTGGAACAAACATTTCACAGGTTCACCTATGTTCATATTGGTTTCTAAGCTTAAAGAACTCAAATTAGCCCTGAAGCTCTGGTCTAAAAATTCTGCTATATCTCCTAAGGCTAATATTTTGAGGTTAACTAAGCAGTTGCATATTATTCAAGAAGAATTAAATAAGGACATGGATAATGAGGATCTTCAGGATACAGAATCTGCTCTAAGTGCTGAGTTAGAAGGTTGGCTTGGTAGAGAAGAAGAGGAGATGAGACAGAAGAGTAGACAGCTATGGCTTCAGCAAGGTGATAAAAACACTCTTTTCTTTTATAATGCTATCAAACACAGAAATTCTACTAATAGCATCAGACAACTTATTACTCAAGATGGATCGCATATAACTTCAAATGATCATATTAAAGTCAGTGCTCTCAGTTTCTATGAAGATCTTTTCAATCAAACATCCTATTGGAATGTTTTTCCTAAATTGACAGTTAAGAGAGTTCTCACTGATGCATCTAAACAATGGTTAATTAAGGAGGTTAACTACAAAGAGATTAGAAATGCACTTTTCCAAATGAATGCAGACAAGGCGCCAGGACCAGATGGATTCAACGCTCATTTTTATCAACAAAATTGGGACTTGATAAGGGGTGATGTAGTTTTGGCAGTGCAAACTTTCTTCACATCTGGTACAATTCTTAAACAGATTAATCACACATTTCTCACTCTTGTGCCGAAATCAAAAGAAGCTACTTCAATTCAAGATTATAGGCCAATTTCATGTTGCAATGTCATTTACAAGATTATTACTAAGATTCTGGCCAATAGATTAAAGTTGGTGGTGGGGGAATTAATATCAAAGAATCAACATGCTTTTCTTCAAGGGAGACATATAGGTGAATGCTCTTTACTTGCTCATGAATTGCTTCGTGACTTCAACAAGAATCATGGTAAGAGAGCCTGTTTTAAAATTAATTTACACAAGGCATTTGATAGCATCAATAGGGAATTCGTATACTACATCATGCACTGTATGGGTTTCCCTGTTAAATGGATTAATTGGATTAGAGAATGTCTGTCAACACCTTCATTCTCTGTCCTTTTAAATGGCTCCTCCTCAGGGTTTTTTAAAAGTAATAGAGGTATAAGGCAAGGGGATCCCCTATCTCCATATATATTTGTTTTGATCATGGAATTTTGGTCTATTGGTATGGAACTGTCTACTATCTCAGGGAAAATCCAGAATTTTAAGTCACACCAAGATCTTCAAGTCTCTCATATTTTATTTGCCGATGATATGCTGGTTTTTTGTAGAGCAAATAGAAAATCTTTTGAAGGTATCAATAATTTGTTGGAATCTATGGCATTGAATACTGGTCTGAGTATTAATAGGAAAAAGAGCAAAATATTTTTCAGCAAAGGATGCAACTGTAAAGGAGTTTTAAGCTCTATTGTGGGAATTTCTATAGGGAATCTTCCTATGAAATACCTAGGATTACCATTATCAGCAAATTACCCGAAAGCTAAGGATTTTCTTCCTCTTATTGACAAAATTAGATATAAGATTGAAGGCTGGATGACACATTCTCTATCATTTGCAGGAAGACTTGAACTTGTTAAAGCTGTCTTGCTCAGTACTTCAGCCTATTGGTATTTTGTTTATAAATTCCCTATGTCCATTGTCCAAAATCTGGAATCAATCTTTGCAAATTTTCTTTGGAATGGAAAGTTTCATGCTATCAACTGGAAGGAAGTTTGTCGGCCAAAACAGGAAGAGGGATTTGGTCTGAGACAACTTAAAGATCTTTGTCAAGCAGCTGCTCTAAAGTTAATATGGAGACTTTTAACATCTAATTCTCTGTGGTCAAACTGGATGAATGCCAGATATATCAGGGGAGGAAATTTGTGGGAATCTACTTCTAATTTATTGGATTCAGGAACCTGGAAACACATTTATAGTCTCAAGGAGAAAGCTCTGAGCTGCATCATGAAAATTATTGGGAATGGTGAGACTACTTCACTTTGGTTTGACCCATGGATACAGGAAGGTAGAATTTGTGATCTTCTGCACCATCTCACTCCTCAACTCACAGGCACTAGTACTTGGACTGTATCTCGCATCATTCTAAACTCTCAATGGAATATCATCTTACCATGCCTTAATCATCTGATACCTCTCATTTCTAATATTTCAGTTTCAGGACTGAAAGATCAATGGACATGGTTGCATACAGGTGATGGGGTTTTCTCATTTTCTTCAGCTTGGAATCAAGTTCGGACACCCTATAATATATTTGAGCTTTACAATGTGGTATGGTTCCCTTTTTCGAATCCTAGAATGTCTTGTTGCATGCTTAGAAGTTTGTATAACAGGTTAGCTACAAGGGATAGGCTATTCAAATTTGGGATAACCTCTATCGAAGTTTGCGTTCTCTGTAATGCCTCGAAGGAGACAAGGGATCATTTATTCTTCAATTGTGAATTTTCAGCTTTCATCTGGAAGTTATGTAAACTCAAATTGCAGCTTGATGCTACAGATGCTAAGGACCTGAAAACAGAGGCCCTGGAAATCATAAAAAGGTTCAAAATGAAAGATAACACTTATATTTTGGTTAGACTAGCTTTGAATGCTACTGTTTGGCATATTTGGCAGGAAAGGAACAGAAGAATCTTCCATGCTAGAAAGTTGCATAAGATTATGGTGTTTAGAAGGATATATTAAGATATCAATATCTTACTTAGAACTTGCAATTGGAAAGTTGGAAATTCTGATATTTTAGCAAACTGGGGTTATGTAAAATAGTGAATATTAGTGAGCTGTGAGTTAATGTTTTGTATTTGAGAGTACTATTTATCTGTTGGCTTTTGGTAACACTGGTTTCTTACTTGGTTTCTTTAGTTGAGGGTGACGGCCAGGGTCCTCTCCCCTCTCTATAGTTTTCCTAGTTAGATTCCTTGTGTTGCCTAGCCAAGTCTGTATCTTATGTACTTGTGTTTGTTTTAATGGAAATTTACTTATCTTTCAAAAAAAAAAAAAAAAATGTTGCACTACTATGTTACTAAAATGCTGTAATAGTAGGGCCCCCTTCATCACACGAGGGTGGAAGTTTTCAATGAAACAAACACCGTAAGTGGCTAAAAACGAGTTCACTTTCACACTTCTAAGAGTCACTTTCATACAAACGAACACCAAGAAACTCAAGAGGCAAATCTACATTTTTTTTTTTTGAAATTTGGCATTGATCTCATCCTGCTCGTCATCCTCGTTTATCCCTAAGTTGCCCGAAACTGATTGATCTTCTCACAAATTTACTCTTCTCCTATGGTTTTATTCGTTATCAAAACGAGAAGATAAGTATCTTCTTTTATGATCTCTTTAGCAAGCACAAGTACAACGCAGTAACAAACCAAAACCAGCAAATTGAGGAACACAATCACATCTGTAAGGAGTACAATAAATATATAATAAGACACTGACGGTCTATACAACTCAAAATTTACACCTTTGCCTTTGCCCTCGCAAATTGGTGACCTATACCCTCTGTCAGGTTCCTACCCTCCATATCGGCCCCCACTTTGGTTAGCCAGCTTCTTGCAGATCAATAAACATATACAATGAACATTAGAAAAAAGAAAAGACAATGTATTTAACGGTCAAAATCTGGGGCCAATATACTGTCTAATATACACTGTACACCGCTGAGAGGATTACACTCAGCTGTTAAGCTTTGCTAAGAATTCCTTGAGATTGTACTCTTCATCATATTGTGATTGATCCCAAAGCTCTCCAAGTCCTTTGATGATGCTTCCAGCCTTTCCACCAACACCGATGCTTGAATCTTCTGCTGGATTCTCGTTGGAAGAGGAAGCCTGCTTGATAGTTGGAAAATAACAAAGGTGAGGTTATTAAACATGTTATTATCTCTGCATTTTAAACAATGAGTATAAATAAAAACTCTTCTTTTAATAATAGCATATCGCGATTACATGAAGCAATACCTACACTTACATGTAAACAGGTAGTATAAAAGTAATATATAGGGGGGGAATTTTATCCAAGAGTAGTCATGTCTGATAAAATAATTGCAGTCCGGGTACTTAGATGAGACAAGTTCAGGTGGGTTTTCAATGATTTATAAGGGCCCTGGAGAATTTTGTAAATTCACCCTATTCTTTTAAAATGGGTAAAATAAATCTAGTTTTAATTGAATAGCAAAGAAGTGATAATATGAAACATACTTAGCACATATACTATTTGAAGCGAGAAACACAAAACTTTGGTGTGAAAGGTATGGTTAACATTACCAATTTGGTGTTTGGTGCCGGAGTGAACAGGTCGAGCAATTGGTCTGTGTTCATGGTTTTCAGACTGGCGTTTTCTGAATTGATGACAGCATTGGCAACTGACACCTTGAACTTCTGCAGACTCATGACTTTCTCTTCCAAGGTACCACGCATTATGAGGCGATGGACATTGACAACTTTACGCTGACCCAACCTGTGTGCTCTGTCCATTGCCTGCAAGAACCAACAGAGATGACGAGGAGATATGGGAAATTGTAGCTTCCTATACGATTTGCAGGTGATGTATGGCCATATATGAGAACGAATGAATAGCAAAAAGAATGAAAACAAATATATGAGGAGGTTCATTTGCAGGCTTATTAAAATAACCATAATTAACCACAACTACACGACAAATTGCACACATGCATATAGACAACTCAAACTGGCATGAAGAGTAGGTTTTTTGAAACATTATCAAGTTGAACCTTATTTGCAATCATGTCATGTCATCTCTTTATAAAAGAAAATTTCTTGTATCAATCATAAAGATAAAGAAATGGTACAAAAAATTCCAATAGCTATATTCTACTACCAATCTGTGTGATATGCTAGCCAGATATCAGAGGGATGCCTAGCAACAACTGTATCGCAAGCATAAGTTCGTCAACAGCAATGATTCTTTAAGTTTGAAACAACTAATAGGCCAAATATGCAAATATCAAGACCCGGAAATTAATGTCTTTTTTAATACCAACAGCTCTCTAGAATGGCTCATGCTTGATCACCCACAAAGGGGAAAAGCAAGAATGCTGAAATGAGGTCAGCATATTGTAATATTTCTGAAATTCCATCAGCGACCTTCTCAGGTAGGTAGTAATCCAATTTAATCTTCAAACTTGCAAACAATAATCAGAAAAATCTAGCACTAACAAGCTAAAGAAACATTTATAACAAGGCCAATAAAGATAATACTTTAACATGTAATATCAATGTTGATCAGCAATCAGTAAGAATCCAAATAATAATTGATAAAAATGTACCAGTGCGAATGAACATCAAGAAACTAAGAATCAACACTGAATGCATTTAGGATTGTAATGAAATAACAATGACCTGGTGTAAGGAAATGAAAAAGCAAGAAACCTACTTATTGGCTATTCACTTTATCTATGCCTAAGCATTAATGCAATACATATCAGCAAACCTGACATCTTTCCCCTTTCTGTCCCTTTTCACAAGGCTGGAGAAATGGAAGATTAATGCTGGTCCTTAGGAGCATGGAAAGTCCCTCCTTTCCTCATAGTTTAGTTGTTGAGGTATTAACGGTAACTATGAAAGATTCACATCATATTGATGGTTGGTCAAAATACTTTCTCAAATGTATCATGGAGTTCAGCTTTTGTCAAAGCACCCACTGGAAAGGTAGAGAGATGAGGACGATGATGACTGTACGTTAGTTATTTAGAATTGTAGCGGTAACCAAATTGTTATTAGTATCCCTGCTTAATGAATATCATTTTAGTGTGATCACCTAACGTCTCAAGGACCAAAGCCAATAAAATTTAAGGAATTAAGAGGTGGTAATAATTCATTGCTTAATTGACAACGCGAAATGTCTGAGCCGCTTTAGACGTCTAGGTGGAGGCTTGCGAGAGCACTATACCAAAAACACATTCGTAAATTCATATTACAAAATGAGATCTATTTTTATTATTGATAAGATGAGCTAATGGTAAAGCAAAAACATAAATAAGCCTATACTGTGCTCCCTGCCACCCAACAAAGGTGAGGTTCTTAAAATTAGAACTGGGATATTCTGTGGGATAAATTTTTAAGGTGTTTGTCACATAGAACTAAAACTAGAACAAAATTTTACAGTGTTAGTCAAGTAGAACTCTAACAAAACTAGAATTGGGATAATTGTACAAAATTATCCCACTTTTTTTATTTTTCTATACAAAAATGAGTTCTAGTCTCTCAAATTATTCCAAGTTTTAGCTTGGAACTAGGTGGTAAAAAACTAGAACTCATATTTATTTTGTTATTTTTTATTTTTTATATTTCTTTTTTTTTCCTTTACCTCTTTCCTATTATGGTTATCACCATCATTAGACCATCATTATAATAATAATTGTCAATATCTTATAGTCTAACCAAAAGTTATTTAATAGTAAAGAACATTCTTGTAAGCAATTATCAATCAATAATAGTAAGTTTAAAATACATAAATAGTATTTATATCTTCAAAATGCATAAATATATATTTCATGATTATAAAAATTTATCCCACGTTATTTTAACAAAATATCCCGCTTCACAAAATTATTCCTATTTATCCCACTAAAATATCCCACTAGTGAAAAATTGTTCCACTAACAATTATCCCATTTTGCATGAAAATGTCCCAATTGACTAACACCCCCAAATGGAACTTTTCTGGGATTATTTCATGTATTAAAAGTCTAATTCATCAATGTAGATGGTCAAAAATGACGTCCGTTGATCAAATAGCTTAAACGCTATGTGGAACCTACCAAGGGAAAAATGGTCGTGTAACATGACCAATGGGCTCATCAAAGTCATCTAAGTCCACAGCTAAGGATACAAACAGAAAAACCCTCAGTCAAAGCGAGAAAAGAATCAGCCTTAAACACTGCTCAAATCAGCCAAAACATTGTCTACACGGGCTTAAGCACAGCTTCGCGATTGTGAGGTTAGCTAGCCTCACGTTTATGAGAGACTGGAGTCATACTAAGTCAACCTGATAACGACTCCGACAGCCACTACTCTGCATATAGGGCAGCTGTATTTAATGGAGAGGTGCACCTGCAATATGCTTACGCTGGGCTACAAAAAGAACAATTTTATCACCTAATCATCAGATTTTGTCCCACACACCCACAATTTTGGGTGACTCAGGACTAGAAAAAGCAGCAATTCTACGAATTCTGGCAGTTCTGGTCCCCTGCGCCCACAATCTAGTTACGCAGAGCTGACGTGGTGCCCACAATTCAGATGAAGCGGGGCTACAAAACTGCATAGCATTTAATAAACTGTCAGTCCTAGAGCCATGTAAACTGCAGTTTCTGATAAAGGACTGTACAGCTCCGATCACCAGTACAACATATACAACAGATTTGGCAGGATTAGCCCCGCATAAGGCAGATTGTGAAGTCTATAAATAGAGACCCTCCATCGACATGCAAATGACACCACTTCGGCTCCAAGACCTGCTCAAGGCTCATTTCTTGAAATTTCGGCAGCTCTCCTGCCTCTCCATTAGTTCTCTTGCTTAGTCTTGGCTTTTGTCGTACCATCTCCTTAGTGATATTCATCATCTCCTTCGTGAGATCATCCATCTCCTTCATGAGATAACATTGTCTACAAGGTTCATATCACCCATTAGACTCTACCAACTCCTCATTGGAGTTCATATTTTCTCCTTGAAGGGTTCATGTCACCCTCGAAAAAAACAAAGCTCCCTTCAAACCAGAGTTTTGGTCACTCTCCGTTCGTTTCCAACCTTCGAGAAAGATCATATCTTCCTCATTTTCCACCGAAAACAATCAACTCTAGACTTGCAGATGGAAGAAATGGCATTTTACTAAGTCTCTGCCCTGATATCACCTCCTTCACAATGGTCTATGCTGCGTCAGTATATTGGAAATAACTTTTTGAGATTAGCATCAGTTATGCACTTATGCTTCATAACCAAAAGAAAAACACAAATAAGAGTCTTCAAAAAGCTGTCATGTTCTTAAATTGACCTAAAATTTTTCATATTTGCTAATGTACCCACCAATTTGTGGACGGGAGTAAATAAAATATCTCTAACCAGATCCACTAGGTTACTGAACCTTTCCGCGTCCCAACATTTGTATCAAGCATGTCAATTAAAGAATCAACTCTGCTTACATGAAATGTAGAACCACTGAGATGAGGGTATCTATAATTGTCTAAAGTGGGACTTTAACTTCATATCATAGGGTAAATAAATTGATCAACAGGACAATATTGATGACAAAGCGCAAAATACTGAAGTCTAAATTTTGTTTAAAGTTCAAATATACTGCACAATTAAACATACTTGAAGATCTTTCATCGGATTCCAGTCATGTTCCATGAAAACCAGCGTATCAGCAGAAGTCAAATTCAAGCCAAGCCCACCAACTGCATATACGATAGCTTAGTGAATTTTTAAGGAACGAAAACTACCTTAACACATCAAGCCTTACCATTTGTTGTGAGAAGCAGAACATCAATAGTAGGATCAGAATTGAATGTTTTCACAATGTCAAAACGTCTCGACTGCTCTACAGAACCATCCAGCCGCAGATATGTAACACTATTAAATCAAGAACTAACATTATTACATTAATCAAAGTAATGACAATTAAAAAAGAGATGCTTCCATAAATAAATAAAAAAGTTAACTAAACATGAAAGAAAATGTAATGCAGCCCAAATAAGATAACAAGCACCCCCACCCCCACCCCCACCCCAAAAAAAAACCACCCCTCCCCCCAAAAAACCAAAAAAAAGGGAGAGAACCCACATGATAACCAAATCCCAAGAATAAAGTCTCTGTTCCAACTTTAGTCATGTGGCTACCTTTTCTCATACCAAATAAACCAAAACGCATCAACTCTCTGCATTTAAATTCCTTCTCTGTCATGTTGTCAGCCTATCATCTTCAACCTTCTCTTGTCCACTTCCCATTAAAATATCTCAAAGTGTCCAATTTCTGGTGTTTTCTCATAGCTTTTTATGTACTCTGCACTCATCGATGCAGAGGACTGTCTAGACTAATTTGAAACAGGGCAAGATGGTGGATGATACTTGTGGGAATTTTTGTTAGTTGTACAAGACAACAATTGAATATAGTACTGAAACTAAATCAACTCCTGCATATTGAGCTTTGGCATATATGTATTAATAGACAACTACAAGTAGGATAATGGCATTGTAATATTCTTAATGAGTTTTCTTGTGTACAGAATTCAAATGTATCAAATTTGTTAGTAGAAGAAGATTGTAATGTATCAAATAATGCTATCGTTGCAAGAATGGTGTGGTATTGTTAGCATTATTAGGTTGAGATTTAGTTTTTATTGGACTGGAATAAATTACTTGGTTATTAAAATATATCAACACAATTTTAACTACATTGAAATTTATTACCCTAAAGATGATCATCCTTTGGTAACAACTAGAAGAGAGGCAGAGGAAGTGAAGAACCTTTGGTACCCTACTGTAAACACACTTCAGAATCAAAATGAAGAAGATGATTTTAATGGAGATGATCCAAACAATAGATGGAAGAAGATGAATAAATCTATGGAGATTTTAATGGGTCGACTTCAAGAGGAAGAAGGAAAAAGATGAAGTTTTTTTTTTTGGAGAGAGAAGAGGGCACACGTGAA